ATCAGTACAAAAATAGCCATTTTGTTTCAACACTTCTGGTGTCTTGTCAAGTGATGGTAACGCCATCGCCTGCGAAGACTCTATACATTGGCGTGTCCATCTATTTTTTTTTTTTATCTCGTTGCACTGCACAGGACACTCAGTAACCTTCCACGGTTTTCACCTGTCAGTTTCCTCTTCGACTTCACCTTCTCAGCCACCCTCTGTTCTTATTACTCTCAAATCTCCCCCTCCTCACCCTTCTTCTCTACTGCTATCTCCCTTTGATCTATTTCTTCCTTGCCGCTGTTTTTTCTTTTATCGTGTGATTGGCTGATACGGCCGGGTCATTGGCAACGAATATTTCATTCCTTTTGATCACGTTCATTTCATTTTGCTTATTAAATTGACTCATTCTCCCAGTCTGTCTTTCATTCACTTTTTTTTTTATTTCTTTCATCGTTTATTTCTTTCGTCTTTTTTTACTTCTTCTCTTTCACTCTCATAGCCATTCTCGCGTTCCCTCTCTTGTTTTGAACACTTGACGCTTGAACACAAAACATTTCCTGTCAATTGCGATTTTTTTTCACTGCCTCCCAGACAACAGGGTTAGGGTTCGAAATTGGAAGAAAAATTTCTGTTAATAATTTCTTATTGATTTTATTTTCATTTTTATTGATTTTTTCGTATTATCAATTTGTTTATTTACATTGACTTGTACATGTTTATCGATTGGTTCATTTTTATTGACTAGCACATGTTTATCGATTGGTTCATTTTTATTGACTAGCACATGTTTATCGATTGGTACATTTTTATTGACTAGCACATGTTTATCGATTGGTTCATTTTTATTGACTAGCACATGTTTATCGATTGGTGCATTTATATTGACTAGCACATGTTTATCAATTGGTTCATTTTTATTGACTTGCGCATGTTTATCGATTGGTGCATTTATATTGACTATAGCACATGTTTATCGATTGGTTCATTTTTATTGACTTGCACATCTTTATTGATTGGCTCATTTTTATTGACTTGCACATGTTTATCGATTGGTTTATTTTCATTGACTTGCATATGTTTATCGATTGGTGCAATTATATTGACTAGCACATGTTTATCGATTGGTTCATTCTTATTGACTTGTACATGTTTATCGATTGGTTCATGTTTATTGACTTGCACATGTTTATCGATTGGTTCATTTTTATTGACTTGCACATGTTTATCGATTGGTTCATTTATATTGACTTTTCATAAATTCTGTCTATCTGAGATTAGCAGTTATAATTATTTAAACATTCAAGACTATTGTCCTCATCTTTGTTGTTGTTATAACAACGTTTCGGCCAGGGTGCCCTCCGACACTCCTCAGGTGTATATCGATCTGGGGAACCTACAGGGAATTCTGATTTGGACCCTTTATTTAATATACTATAGTAGATTTATCATGTCTAGGGATAATTTGTCTAGTCCATATTCAGTTCTCGCTAGTCCGAATGTAAATGGTGCAAATAATGTCTTGTTCATGTTTATCGATTGATTTGTTTTTATTGATTTGTTCATAGAAATTATTAAACAGAAAAAAAAATTAAAAGAATAATCACAATGTTTTCAAATAAAATCGACCAACGACCACCATTAATTTGTCAAACAGCATATTTGGGAACGCCGACGAATGTACGAATATTTATTAAAGAAAAATCTTTGCTATTGAGTCGCAGCCGCGTCATACGCCATTTTGCACATCTGTCGTTTGCAGTCCGTTAAAACAAAAGCTGAAAAAATATCAGCTAGCTTCTACCATAGTTTTGGTATCCCCCTGTGAAGTAATGGATAGTGGCTCGGATTGAGAAATCGGAGAGCCAAGTTCGAATTCCAATTGAATCCATTACATTCACTTACGTGCTAATACCGTTGTGGAAGGTATAGATCCTTTTCTTCTCCCAACAGCTATGGGTAAATAGCAGGACATACCAGGTTCTATAGCCTTGGATGGAAATAAGCGCAGAAAGAAATGGCAACCTACTGTGGGAAAATATCTGCCTCGTCAGTCATGTATCGGAAGATACATGATCGCTTAACCGTGTATCACGCATGGCACATAACTGATTGAATAATGTTATACCTAATGTGATAGATACTCCAACAATAAACGATAAAATAATTCGGAGGCTCTTCACAACAAAAGACAGCTGAAAGTAATTGCTTATAATTTGGTAGAAGAAGGTAATCTCTTCAATTTTTAATTAATCGGCCATGACGTAAGTTATTCAAAAGCTTGGTTCAATTTTGCAGGCATTCCTCATATATACACCAATATAGATATCCGCTAACATCTACCATATTTTTTTCTTAACCGGATCTTAGATCGATCTGTTTATTCACATCTATATCATGATTTAAGTATTTTTTAAGCCCTAATAATGTTATGTTAAGTAATGGATAGCGACCCGAATTGAGGAAGCGGTGAGCCGAGATCGAATTCCAGTAGAAAGGTATGAATCCTCTTCTTCTCCCCCCCAGCTATGTGTAAATACCAGGACAGACCGTGTTCTACAGCCGTGGATGGCAACTGGTCTACCGCAAAATGAAATGGCAACCTACTGTGGGAAAAAATCTGCCTCGTCAGTCATCGAAAGATATATGATCGCCTAAGCGTGTATTATGCATGGCACAAAATTGATTGATATCATGTTTTAAATATTTTTAAGCCCTAATAATGTTATACCTATTGCGACATATCCCAACTGCAATAAACGATAAAAAAAAGTAACAAATTTTGGCCGCTCTTCACAACAAAAGACTGCTGAAGGTGATTGCTTATAATTTGGCAGAAGACGGTAATCTTCTCAATTTTTAATTAACCGGTCATGACGACGTATGTGATCCAAAAGGCTTGCTTCAGTTTCCGCAGTCATTTCTGTATATGTTGTTTAGAAGGACGGGATAAGCCAATAAATCTATATGGTTATCCGCTAAAAATAAAGTTTTAACCGATAAAAATCTGTCGGATTAAAAAAATATCTTAAAGATCATTAATTCTTTAGGAATTGCTCTGTTTAGGTTTTGAATACGAAACTTTGTAGATTTTAAATTTCGGAAATCTGAAAAACGAGAAGGATTTGCTTAAAAGGCAATATTCAACCATGCTTAATCGGCGACACAATTTGTGATTGAGTCGATTAAAGGTATGTCGGATCTAACGACGGTTTCTCTTGCAAAGAAGGACGCAGGTCCGAAAAGTATATATATATATATATATATATATATATGTAAATTCTGTTTATACGTTATTTATATATATATATAATATTTAAGTAAATGCTTTGTTTATAATAAGCGGTATTAACATCATTTGCCAGCCAGAATGTTCGAGAAATATCATAGAAAATATGTCCGAGAAATTTCATGGAAAATATGTCCGAGAAATTTCATGGAAAATATGTACGTTATTATAGACAATTTACAAATCGCAGCAATGCGACAATTTTGTAATCGCTCTATTTTCACGTAGTCAGTTTTGTGCACTTTTGGGAGAAACGGATCACAGAAGCTTTCTTAAGTCACCCCAAAGCTTGCTCGCTGATTGGTCGATGCCAACCAATCAGATCATCTGAACGTGAAAAATAATTCTTGCCGCGCAGCGATCTGAAGCCTATAGTTACTTATTTAAGCAAGAATTTTTCTTAGCTAATTAGTGAGAATTCAGCTGCCAAACGAATCCACGACAGTTGAAACCATGCGCCAACCTTCTCACTCACACACACCACTCACATGCTGAACATAACTTGTATATACTCACATAATCTTTTCTTACACAGCAAATCTTTCAAGAACTATTATTACAAGAAACTCTCATGGACATTCTTCCAGTGAACTTTGGAACACCAAAATAACAGGTAAAGAGAGACAACTCTTGTTTATTTCAACCTTTTCTTATTTAAATACATGCTTTCTTTCATATCGTTGTTTGATATTGTACATCTTGTTAAATACATATTTTATGTGTAACAATGTCTTTTGCTTATCATTTTCTGCGTCAGCCATGTTTCCTAATCTAAAGTTATATTAATGGGGTGAAGTCCGCCACAGTTATCTATATACATTATGATAAACAGCAACGACCTCCGTCTCCCATATAATGGGCTACTGATTAGCAATTATTAATGGTAATATTAGCCGTTTCCTTATGAGAAAGCATGTGGCATTCATTGAATAAGAAGCCAGCACTACTTTCGCTCGGGATTCATAAAATCTTTCTCTTAAAACAATTTTTTCCGAAAAATAGATTTCTCAAGTCCAGTAACTGTTAAGGCTCTTCGTAGAGTTTCCTTCCTAACCTTTTGTTTGAACTAGTGTGGAATGTCAAAAAATCTTATGCCATTGTTCTCTTTTCGTATTACATATGGTATCCTTTTTTTATTTGCCGCTGCTGTTGAAAGCACTCAAGTTGTATGATTTCTGTTATCTTGTCTAACATTTTGTTTGTGATTGTGTAGCGCCAGTCCACAAGGTTAGAAAAAGAGTGGTCTTGTCTAATATCCACTGGTTTCACTCTAAGCCCTCTCCAATTGTCGACTTGAAAAACTGGTTATAGGCAGTTCAGAGTTTAGGTATTCCTGAACTAGTTTGGCGCCATATATGACATCCAAACGAAAGTCTCAACCAGACGAAGTTATTTAAGAACCTGACTTAAGTAGTGATTTTTATTCATTTTCTTTTTTTTCTTTTTTTTGGTTTGTTTTGAACAGATGCTTTAAGTCTGCACGTTACGTAATCATCTTAGAGTTGCAGATAAATTATAGTCAAGCCTTCTAGCCAGAGAAATAGATGTTATTAAATACGATATCATTACGCACAAAAAAAATAGTGCGGGCGTAAGTGGCTGTTTGCGTTTGTGTTAATGTATGCTCTTCTATAATGAAACAGCAATATATGTCGACAAAAGAGAAAGAAGCGTGAGTATAAGCAGAGAACGATATACAGAGAGAAAAGCGATGGGCCAATAAATGCTATATACACAAAGAGATAGAGGAAAATGGCGGAAGAGGTTTCCTATTATATGTGAAGAAACGGAAAAAGATGAACAATCGGCACGAAAATAAAAACAAAAGGAAAACAGATGTGAAAAGAAAACAACTGGAAAGTGAACAGGTGAAGATTAAAGAGAAATTGTGTTTTTTCAGAAATAGAGAGAGAGAGAGAGGTGGTTG